ATCTATCTATCTATCTATCTATCTATCTATCTATCTATCTATCTATCTATCTATCTATCTATCTATCTATCTATCTATCTATCTATCTATCTATCTATCTATCTATCTATCTATCTATCTATCTATCTATCTATCTATCTATCTATCTATCTATCTATCTATCTATCTATCTATCTATCTATCTATCTATCTATCTATCTATCTATCTATCTATCTATCTATCTATCTATCTATCTATCTATCTATCTATCTATCTATCTATCTATCTATCTATCTATCTATCTATCTATCTATCTATCTATCTATCTATCTATCTATCTATCTATCTATCTATCATCTATCTATCTATCTATCTATCTATCTATCTATCTATCTATCTATCTATCTATCTATCTATCTATCTATCTATCTATCTATCTATCTATCTATCTATCTATCTATCTATCTATCTATCTATCTATCTACCCCCTCTTCAACCCACATCTGCCTTGGCATTAGAATTGTGGTAGACAAAACACTCTGTAAATATTGCAAGTATTTAATTTTTTCTCTTCGCAAACTCTTTAGATTTCTTTTGCCAATATTTTCGATTTTTTTTTTTTCTCAAGTTACTTTTTTGCTTTAAAAAAATTCAATTACCAAAATCGACAACTAAATTAATGATAAGAAAATATTTCATAAAAAAGTCTTTAGACATAGAAAAAATAAGTCGAAGATTTTTGTCTCAAATAACTGAAAGTGATGTAGTAACAATGGAGTAAGAAAAAATATTCCAAAACTTTAAATTAGGAAAATAATGATAACATTTGTAAATGAAGGAATGGTGAATATAACTAAGAATCGAATATATTTATTAAAAAAACCTTGTAGATAGAAATACAAATTTTAAAAGATTTATGAACTTTATCACATATTTTATTTATATTCAAAATTTGTTTTAATGGTTAAACATTAATTTCCAACTAAACCCACTACTTAAGCAACAGGAGCAAAGCCAACACGATTTCTTCCAAAATCAAAAACAGTATAATAACGTCCTATGAAAACATCACCCAAAATCCAGAAATCTGTACCCATAGTAGTAAAACTAGACATACATTTACCACCGAGATTGATAATATAGGCATGTGGTCCCAAATTGAAAACGCTACCACCAATATTAAATTTAACAATGGGCAAAGAATTAATACTAGCACAGTTCACATAGTAATTGCCATCTGAACTATCGTAAGTAGCACCAATTTGCCTATTTAAAGTTTCATAAGCTGCTTTCGGACAAACAATCAAACTAGTGCCAGTATCGGCAATAGCTTGGCAATTATCGCAAATACGATGGCCATTGATTGAAATAGAGTTAACTTTAAATTGCCAATAACATTCTCGGGAGACGGGAACATAGGTGATTTTACCAACATATAGGCTGGGATCAACACCACCCAATATCAATTCTCCGCCCTGAACAGCCGAACCTCCACGCCTCAAATAGAAAGAGAAAACATCACGATCAACTAAACCTTGGGTGAACATATTATTGAAAGGAGGCACCACAGCATCTTCAGCCAAACATCTATAGGCCATACCAAAGATACCATCAAAATTAGCATAAGTAAAACTGTTACCAGGTTCATTCATGGCCTCGCCAAAAACTTGATGTTTTATTTTTAATCTATCTAAGGTAACAACATCCTGAGACAGATAACCACTCATACTACCAGATCCATATTGAATAGCTATCGGTCTACCGTTTTTCACATAAGTACTGGATAGGTTATGATTGTATTTATGATGCCTTCTGCAAGCAATTTCCGTGCAGCGACTAGAAGGCACCCATAAATTCGATGAACCAGTATCGAAGAGAACTATAAAATTTTGTGCAGGAGTACCAATAGTTATGCGACCGTAGTATTCCATATTATATGAATTGCTTAATTGTTCCTTATGCACATCACTCTGTTGTAGTAAACTGTATCTTGTGCGGAGAGTAGATATTTCAGCCATAATATCGCTGCTAGTCTTGATAAAATTCTCATCTCTATGAATTGGTACATGTATCAAATCAGCCCTGGCTGTTGCCAATAATAGTGCAATAACTGTAAAACTTTGCCACATTTCCAAATATATATTTTTCATTATTTTTATTGCGTTTTTATATCAGACCAAAAAACTCAAATTACTATTTGATATATTGCAAAATGTTTATATCAAAATCTAACCATCTTTCAGCGGTCTAAAAAGTCATATTACCAGACATATTTTGCCAACTGTTTTAAATTGTTTAAATAAATAAAACTCCACGAAAAATAATATTTAAACAATTTTTTTTAAAGTGTATTCTATTATTATTAATCTTTGTAAACAATAAGCTCATAGAATAATTTAAACAAATTTATTTTCATATTGATTTAGCTTAGCGTTCAATTATTCCAGAATAGAATAGGGACCAGATGGTAGCACATATCGAGTCTGGTGTATGATGTGATGAAACATTATTTAAAATATTGATCAACTTTCAAAACATATCAAAACAAGATTGTGGTCGTAAAATTTCTCAAGACCCGTTAGGTCTCTTTTTTGGGTGGGTCGAAAATACCTTTTTCGCTAGGATCAATTTTTTTACCCACCTCCACCATCAGTGGTGTCAGAAGTTATATACAATAAGTTTATCATTCCGTGTGTCACACCAACAAATATTCATCTGGGACCCAACAAAGTATATAAACTGGGTGCTTATTAAATTCTGAGCCGATTTAGCTGGCCGATATAAAACAAGCAGACGTTAAAACTACTTTAAATAAATCGGTTATATTGGCCGATATAAAACAAGCAGACGTTAAAACTACTTTAAATAAATCGGTTATATTCACCCAAAATTTGGATTGTGTTACATATTATTTTTTGCCAGGAATGAATTTTGTTCAAATTTATAACAATCGATCCAAAATTTCCTATATTACCCATACAAAGGTGTATATTCCCTGAAATGGATCGTTAATAACATCCTTAAAAACATCGTTATCACCACAAAATTTTGCAGATATATGAACCGAAATCATATTACTAACGAAGATCTGTATCGGTCCACAATTGGTCATAAATCCCATATAAGGACCACTTCCGGAAATAACTTAAATGCACAAAATTAATTAACAAATAAAGATGAATATATAAATCATTGTGCGAATTTGTTTACAGATCGGTCCATAATTGGTCAAAGCTTCACTTGGTCCACTGTCGAAAATCTTTTAATCGCACATATTTCATTGACAATTAAATCTATTAGGATAAAATTCGACATGACCATGTCTTGTCTATGTATAAAGCATTCTGCGGAAATTTTCCGACCAATCGATCCGTAATTGGCCACAGCCCTCATATAAGGTGCACTTTTTAAATACATAAAACGGACATAATTCATTATATAGTATATATGTCGAGGAAAAATTCTCTCCGAATTTTTTTCTTTCAGTCATTTTTTAAGTGGACTTTATATGGTTTCTTTCATCTAATATGGACAGATTCATATGAAATTTGCCAGAAAGATTTGAATTCCTATGAAACTTGTTTCGGGTCAGTTATGGACCGATGCTTTTTAAATTCAAAAGGGCGATTTAGATTCATGAATACAAAATTTGTTTGTGTCAAGTTATAAGAAGTAAAGTCATTTTCTGAAGGGGACTTTATATAGGGTAGGGTTAATTATAGACCGATTCTTAAAAAATTTAGTAGGTAGATTTTAGTTCCCATAAAACTTGTTCATATCGATTTTTATAGCCAGTTATGACCGTTAAAGTAATTTTTTGAAGGGGACCTTATATGTAGGGTAGGGTCAATTATGGACCGATCCTCATAAAATGTTGTAGAGCGTCTTTGGTTCATACAAAACTTGTTGATGTCGAATTTTATCGCTGTACTCGTTTTCTTAAGCCATAATAAGGGTTAAAGTCAATTTCTGAAGTGGACCTTATATGCGGCGTAGGATCAAATATGGTCCGAACCTCATCAAATTAGATAGAAAGATTTATGTTCCTATAAAACTTGCTTCTGTCGAATTTCATTGCTATACTGGTACTTATAGGCCAGTTGTGATCGTTAAAGACATTTGGCTTCTATGGGAGGGTAGCGTCAGTTATAGGGGAATGTCAGAATACAGAATAGTTTCTGGGAACTTAAAACTAACTTGTGCGAAATTTCATTACATTTGCTGACATATTAACATTTTTACGACTATTGAATCAATATTCCGTGGGTCACTTCTATGGGAGCTATGTGAAGGCGTGGACCGATATAGCCCATTTTCAATATAAAACATTTCTGATCAATGTAGAATATTTTCATCTTCCTAGTTTTATTCCTCTGAGCTCTATCGTGCCTTCAACAGACGGACGGACTGACAGACGGACGTGTCTAGATCGTCCTAGAATACAAGGACCCAGAATATATACACTTTATGAGGTCTGTGAGCAATATTTCTATGTGTGTTATAAAAATGCTGACCAAATTATTCAATTTCAATATATAAAAAATAAAATATAACTCGGAAATTATAAGTACTGAATAATACAAGCAAGACCTATCCGAGCGATCTCTAAAACTATAAAATTCTTTGAAATCGGATGAGAACGTACCCAACTTTGAGCTTCCATAGAGCCGATGTTCATTTTTAAAACTTTAACTCGAATACTTGCCTACGTCCGTACAAAATTTTATCGGAATCAGATCAGACGTTTAGAAATTTGCAAAAAATTTCGATTCTGCTCCACTGTGCATTGTGAAATTTTGCGTAGAACGTTAATCTGAAATTCCATTTAATAGCTGAAAATCCCTTAGACATATTTAATATAATAAAATTTATAATAATAACAATTAATATCAATATATTATTTAAATAATTAATTTAATTATCAGCAATTTCAAATGATCTTTAACTTATACACTCTCTTGCTATCACTGTTGAATTGAAAACAATTTGAAATTTTTCTTAAAATATATTTTTACTCAGTCTTAAAAATCCCCTTCAACGTGACTAACGGGCATAATCATGTATTTAAAATATCTAATAATTATTTTATTCTCAATAATATGTGTTGTATGTAATTTAAATAAGATTTTTACAAAATATATGTTAAATAAGTATTAATTATTATTTAGAGTTCAGAATTGCGTGACATAGAAGAAATGTATTTGAATTTTTTCGTACAAATGGAAAGTGTTAAAAAATCAGTTGATACAATGAAAGTTCGCCTAGATGTTTTAAGTGAAAAGTGAGTATGATTTAACCGATTTAACTGTTATACTTGATCTCTTATACCGTGAATATCTAAGACAGCTTTAGCTTTTCTTCTTTTCAGAAATCCTAGCAACAATTGTAATTCTATGGACAGCAAGTTTCTGCAAGTTTTTCAAAATTTTGGTTATGTTCTAAAATCTTTGGATGATTTGAATACTCGTTTGGATAATGCTTCTCAGAAGTAAATACTTAAAAGTAATTTAGTACTTTTTTATAAAAAAATCTCTTTTTTTAGTGATAGATCTAGTCATCAAGAGGTTAATTATAACACGGAACAATATGAAGTTCTACAGAGTATGTAGTTATTATCTTTAATATTTAGAGGATTTCTAAAGATTTATTTTATTTATAGATGCTTTTATAAAGGCAATATCAGAAATAAAAGGAAGGTATTCAATCTTACTGGATGAGTTGAATGCTGTTAAAAAATCGGAAGAAGTGTAAGTTAAAAGAAGTATTCGGTTATGCTGAGACTTATGTACCCACCATCAAAGCGTAAAATGATCCTATCGTCATTTAATATATCAGGGCTCAACCTCTAAGTGCTGGTCCATAAAAAATATATGTATGTATATATTTTTGTGGATCAACGTTCAATATGTCGATGTGTTGCAGACGGAATCACACAAGCAATCAATGTATCTCTTCTCTTAATACTATACCATACACCGGCAGAGAGTAAAATATAAGTTCTCTTACTGGTTTTTATCGTTTTTTATACATGTGTAAGCATACAAACGTGTGAAATTAAGAGTACAAGAAAGCTCTTAACAGATCTCTTTGCCGATCAGGGTACTATACACGTCTTTAGAGGGGAGGGTATATTGGATTTGTACTGATGTTTGTAACGCAGAGAATTATGATCTTATACCCACTCAAAATGCACCAATTGACTAAGAATAATGTCCGTCCGTCTGTCTGTCCTCTCTGTCTATCCTCTTTACCTGTGTGTCAGTCCATGAAAACTTTGTAATCAAACTATTAGTGACAATTTTTAAGATAATTCGATGAAATTTAGTACACGTTTTGATATCTGTCTATTATTTAAACCTTGTAAACCTTGTAATCAAACTAAATGCCGCAATTTTTAACATAATTCAATGAAATTACTTTTTACCCATGAACCCTATGAATTTTGTTTGATATCGGTGCATTATTTCACCGAATCCCAAAATTTTGCTATGGAGCTCATAATTATGACAAATATACTAATATCTCTAAAAAAAAACAAGTAAGAAAGTATAGTCGGGCTTAGCCGACTATATGATACCCTACACCAGTTATGAATATTTAATGTGATTTATTTGTATACCACCATCAAAAAATATTGTTTTTGTCATTCCGTTTGTAACACATCGAAATATTCATCATAAAAGTATATATATTCCGGATCCTTATTAAATTCTAAGACGATCTAGCTATGTCCGTCCGTCTGTCTATCTGTCTGTCTGTTGAAAACACGATAGAGTCCAAATGGAAGTAGCTAGCGGGCTGAAATTTTGCAGAGACATTTTATATTGATGCAGTTTGTATTGAAAATGGGCAATATCGGTCCACGAATTCGCCTAGCCCCCATATAAGGTCCCCTTCAGAAAATGACTTTAACGCTCATAACTGACTAAAAGAAGCATCTATAGCTATGAAATTCGTCATGAAACCTAAATCGCTCTCTAAAATTTTATAAGGATCGGTCCATAATTGACCCTACCCCCCATATAAGGTCCCCTTCAGAAAAAGACTATAACGCTCATAACTGCCTTAAAGAAGCATCTATAGCGATGTAATTCGACATGAACATATTTTACAGGAACCTAAATCGCTTTGTAAAATTTTATAAGGATCGGTTCATAATTGATCCTACCCCCATATAAAGCCCCCTTCAGAAAATGGCTTTGACGCTCATTACTGCCTAAACTAAAATCGTTCTAAAAAATTTGACGAGGATCGGTCCATAATTGACCAAAAAAAAAGCAATTTATTGGCGAAAAACTTATTTTGTAAAAGAGGCTTTATATGGGGGATAGGAGCAAATGTGGGCCGATCCCGATAAAAAGTGCTGGATAGATTTGTATTTATATAATATATATAATATTTGTCTGTGCTAAAGTTCATTACAATAACAGTGCTAATAAATGAATTGCGGATATTCAAGTCACTTTCTGAAGGGGGCTTTGTGTGCGGGCTAGGGTCAAATGAAGTCCGATCATTTCGAAATTCGGCAAGGTCATCAAGGCTTGTAGAAAACTTAGTTGTGCGAACTTTCATCGAGATACATTTACATTATACATAATTATGAGCCCAAAAGCCCTTTTCGGGGGGTTCAGTTGTATGGGGGCTAGGTGAAATAATGGACCGATTTTAACCATTTTCAATAGGCTTAGTCCTTGGATCAAAACAAACATGTATTCGAAATTTCATCGAATTATCTTGAAAATTGCGACCTGTACTTTGATAACAATATTTACATGGACACACGGACGGACGGACATCGATAAATCGACTCAGAAAGTGATTCTGAATCGATCGGTATACTTTAAGGTATAGTACTAATATTTGAATGCGTTACAAACATCAGCACAAACGCATAATACCCTCCCCACTATAGTGGTGTAGGGTATAAATACGCCCAACAATGTTCTACATAAGCCCTTGTTTGACCCTAGCCCTCCTACAAAATCCCCCTCTGGAAATAACTTGAATGTCGTTAATTCCCCCCCATATATAGTATCTTTCAGAAAATCCGATTTTCATCCAAAATATATCGAAATTTAGAAAAAATTCATCAAAAAAGTTTTATACTTATATATAATTAAAAATAATACACAACTGGTGTAGGGTATCACATGGTCCTTCATGCACGACTATACTCTCTTACTGGTTTGATGATGGGTACTCTAAATAGTTCAGTTTTATCTTATACTTTACTTTCTATTCTTAGACACAAGCAGAAAACTGAAGATTTGGAAGTAAAATATTTGCAAATTTTAAAAAATTATGAAAATATCAAAAAGTCAAACGATGATTTAAAATTGGAAATGAAAGCTTTAAAAGAACAGTAAGAAATTTAGACTTTTTAAATACAAATTTTAAGAACATAAAATTTCTAAATATCTATTACAGAATATCAAATATTGTAACTAAAGATAAGGCTATCGAAAACTTTGAAAAGAAACCTTTATTTGATGTACGTGTTGATAAGCTGCCGGCAACTAAACAGTATTGTTATCAAGACCCTGCACCGGTTGATTGTAAAACCGCAACGAAATGCACTCAAAAAAGTGGTTATTACAATCTAACTTTACCGGGCAAAAAGTCTAAACAAATAATGGTCTTCTGTGATACCCAGACCAATGGTGGTAATTGGCTGCATATTTTACGACGTCATGATGGTTCGGAAAATTTTTCACGTCCTTGGTCGGACTATGTAAAAGGTTTTGGTCAAGTGGATGGTGAATACTGGATAGGTTTAGAGAATTTACATGCTCTTACAAACTACAATGGTCGCCAGCAATTATATGTCTATATAGAAAACTTTGTAGGACAGTCTTATTATGCTCTTTACGATGACTTTGTAGTGGGAAATGCTAGCGAATTGTATGCATTAAAATCTATAGGAAAACATTATGGCCTTGGTGAGGATGATATGTCGTATAATGTTGGTTCAAAATTCAGTACAATCGATAAAGATAACGATAGTTGGCCAACAGGAAGTTGTGCGGATGAACGTCAGAGTGGTTGGTGGTATACTTATTGTTCCTATGTGTAAGTAATGGAGTTACAATTTTGTAAATCTTCTTTTAAATTCTTTAATTTATGTTTCAGTCAACCCACTGGCCAGTATTTTTATAATAAGCCATCTGGTTTAGGTATTGTATGGAGAAGTTTCGGCGGTCTAGGATATTCTCATAAAGTTATGCAGCTAATGATACGAAACTATTAATTAAAGTACTTAATTCATATGAGAGGAGTCATAACCCCTAATGCTAGTACTATAGACTAGACTATAGACTAAACTATAGACTAGACTATAGACTAGACTATAAACTAGACTATAAACCAGACTATAGACTAGACTGTAGACTTGACTACAGACTATACTATAGACTATACTATATACTAGACTATATACTAGACTATAGACTAGACTATAGACTAGACTATAGACTAGACTATAGACTAGACTATAGACTAGACTATAGACTAGACTATAGACTAGACTATAGACTAGACTATAGACTAGACTATAGACTAGACTATAGACTAGACTATAGACTAGACTATAGACTAGACTATAGACTAGACTATAGACTAGACTATAGACTAGACTATAGACTAGACTATAGACTAGACTATAGACTAGACTATAGACTAGACTATAGACTAGACTATAGACTAGACTATAGACTAGACTATAGACTAGACTATAGACTAGACTATAGACTAGACTATAGACTAGACTATAGACTAGACTATAGACTAGACTATAGACTAGACTATAGACTAGAATATAGACTAGACTATAGACTAGACTATAGACTAGACTATAGACTAGACTATAGACTAGACTATAGACTAGACTATAGACTAGACTATAGACTAGACTATAGACTAGACTATAGACTAGACTATAGACTAGACTATAGACTAGACTATAGACTAGACTATAGACTAGACTATAGACTAGACTATAGACTAGACTATAGACTAGACTATAGACTAGACTATAGACTAGACTATAGACTAGACTATAGACTAGACTATAGACTAGACTATAGACTAGACTATAGACTAGACTATAGACTAGACTATAGACTAGACTATAGACTAGACTATAGACTAGACTATAGACTAGACTATAGACTAGACTATAGACTAGACTATAGACTAGACTATAGACTAGACTATAGACTAGACTATAGACTAGACTATAGACTAGACTATAGACTAGACTATAGACTAGACTATAGACTAGACTATAGACTAGACTATAGACTAGACTATAGACTAGACTATAGACTAGACTATAGACTAGACTATAGACAAGACTAAAGACTTGACTATAGACTAGACTATAGACGAGACTATAGACGAGACTATAGACGAGACTATAGACGAGACTATAGACGAGACTATAGACTAGACTATAGACGAGACTATAGACTAGACTATGGACGAGACTATAGACGAGACTATAGACGAGACTATAGACGAAACTATAGACGAAACTATAGACTAGACTATAGACGAGACTATAGACTAGACTATTGACTAGACTATAAACTATGCAGACAATTACGTCTGGCAATACTGGAAATTACAATGAGGGTTGTTGTATTTAATAATTGTTTAGAAAAACACTATTTTTACATGTAATGGTTCTTGTATTAGATAAATGTACATATGACGGATTATTTGCCGTTATATTAGGGTTGGTCAATTAAGAAAAACTTGTATTTATATGGTTCTAATATAATCCTCTTACCTCTTGAAAAAATAAAGAAAATCTTATGAAATTTTCAGATAATTACTATATATAAAATACTTTAAATATATTTATTTATTAACATTCAACACTTAAGCAACTGGAGCAAAACCAACACGGTTATTGCCCAAATCGAAAACGGTATAGTAGGGGCCAATGAAAACATCACCCAAAATCCAAAAGTCAGTACCCATAGTAGTAAAACTGGACATGCAACTGCCTTCAAGATTTACAATATAAGCGCTAGGTTCTAGAGAGAAATTACGACCACCAATGACGAAATTGACCACAGGCAACGAATCAATAGCAGAACAATCAACATAGTAGTTACCATCCTCGCTGTTGTACATGCCACCAATTTCGTTTTGCAAAGTTTCGTAAGCGGCCTGAGGACAAACAATCAAACTGGTGCCAGTATCGGCAATAGCTTGACAGTTGTCACAAATACTTTGACCATTAATCGAACCAGAAGATACTTCAAATTGCCAATAACCTTGTTGTGAAACGGGTACATAAGTGATGTCGCCTTTGAATAAGCTTGAATCAACACCACCCAAAATCAATTCACCACCAGCGATAGCAGATCCCTCACGCTTGAGATAGAAAGAGAAGACATCGGACTCAACTAAACCTTGAGCGAACATATTGTAGAAGGGTGGTACTACATTGTTTTCAGCCAAACTTTGATAGGCCATACCAAAGATACCATCAAAATTGGCATCAGTGAAACTGTTGCCGGGTTCATTCATGGCCTCAGCGAAAACTTGATTCTTAATGGTTAAACCTTCTACGGTGACATCATCCTGTGACAAGAATCCACTCATGCTGCCGGAGCCATATTGTATAGAAATAGTTTCACCATTCTTAACATAAGTACTGGATTTATCATGATTGTATTGATTGTGTTTCTTGCAGGCAACATCCCAGATCCAGCATCGGCTAGAGGGCACCCACAAATTTGAAGAACCGGAATCGAAGAGAACAACAAACTTTTGTGGTGGAGTACCAATGGTAATGTCACCATAATAAGCCATATTTAAAGAGTTCGATAATTGTTCTTCTGGTAAATCGCGGGTTTGAGGCAAATTGTATTTGGTACGCAATACCGACTTTTCAGCACGAACATCTTTATGGGTCTTGACAAAATTCTCATGTTTGCGTATAGGTACATGCACCAACTCAGCATTGACCACAGCCACTATAATGGCGAAAACTACTATAGATTTCAACATTTTTAAACTGAAAATAAAATCCAAAGAAAACATTTAAATTAATGTTATTTTAAAGTTTTTATACAAATATTACCTTTTTAAAAGTTGTGCTTTTTTCGCCCTTAAAGTCCACACAATCACTATATAGATTTCGGCAAATTTGTCATATTTATAGTAAAGACCTGACGCTTGGTCTTTAGTCTGGAAATTTATCATACCAGACATATACCATGTTTTTCCAAATAATATTTCTAAAGATTAGATTTAAGGTCAAATAAACGAAACAATATATAAACAGATATGTTTATACAATTTATTAATAAGTAAATACTATAATTACTTTATCTTAAAATTATTTATTTAATATTATATGCGAATTGATAATAAATTTCTTAATAAAACTAAAAATACTCAAGAAGCCATTGCGGTTTTTGACAAAGACATGGCAGCACTTATGTTGCAAAATTGGAAATTTTTCATTGTTATTGAAATGGTCTTATCTAATTTGATACTAAAATTTTTGCAAGAAATCAAATCAATTATTTTGCTTTGAATTATTAAACAAAACTATAATAACCCAGCAAAAACATGGTAATGGCCAGTACTTACTTAACAACTTACATTTTAATGACTACTACATACCGTCTGCATTACTTAGAAGGAGTCTATTAACGACTTACATATAATCTGATATGTAATTACTTTTTTTATACCCTACGCCACTATAGTGGGAAGGGTATTATGCATTTGTGCTGATGTTTGTAACGCATTAAAATATTAGTACTATGCCCACCTTAAAGTATACCGATCATCTCAGAATCAATTTCTAAGTCGGTCGTCCGTCCGTGTGTCCGTCCTACCGTCCGTGTGTCAATGTAAACGTTATTATCAAAGTACAGGTCGCAATTTTCAAGATAATTTGATGAAATTTGGAATACACGTTTGTTTTGATGATGCCTATTAAAAATAGTTAAAATCGGTCCATTATTTTACCTAGCCCCCATACAACTGAACTCCCCGAAAAGGGCTTTTGAGCTCATAATTATGTATAATACGAATGTATCTCGATGAAAGTTCGCATAAATAAGTTCTATACAAGCCTTGATGACCTTGCCGAAATTTGAAATGATGGGACTTCATTTGACCCTAGCCCCCATACAAAGCCCGCTTCAGAAAGTGACTTGAATATCCGCAATTCATTTAATAACACTGTTGTTGCAATGAAATTTAGCACAGACAAATATTATATAAATACAAATCTATCCATCCCATTTTATCGGTATTGGTCCACATTTGCTCCTATCCCCCATATAAAGCCTCTTTTAGAAAATTAGTTTTTCGTCAATAAATTGCTTCATAGTTTAGTCATAGTCTAGTCATAGTCTAGTCATAGTCTAGTCATAGTCTAGTCATAGTCTAGTCATAGTCTAGTCATAGTCTAGTCATAGTCTAGTCATAGTCTAGTCATAGTCTAGTCATAGTCTAGTCATAGTCTAGTCATAGTCTAGTCATAGTCTAGTCATAGTCTAGTCATAGTCTAGTCATAGTCTAGTCATAGTCTAGTCATAGTCTAGTCATAGTCTAGTCATAGTCTAGTCATAGTCTAGTCATAGTCTAGTCATAGTCTAGTCATAGTCTAGTCATAGTCTAGTCATAGTCTAGTCATAGTCTAGTCATAGTCTAGTCATAGTCTAGTCATAGTCTAGTCATAGTCTAGTCATAGTCTAGTCATAGTCTAGTCATAGTCTAGTCATAGTCTAGTCATAGTCTAGTCATAGTCTAGTCATAGTCTAGTCATAGTCTAGTCATAGCTAGTCTAGTCATAGTCTAGTCATAGTCTAGTCATAGTCTAGTCATAGTCTAGTCATAGTCTAGTCATAGTCTAGTCATAGTCTAGTCATAGTCTAGTCATAGTCTAGTCATAGTCTAGTCATAGTCTAGTCATAGTCTAGTCATAGAAAATTTTTGTGACCACAGATTTAGCTAAAGAGCCGTTGCACCTAATCAAATTATATATACATAGTTTATTCCAGAGGATTTCGGTGATTCCAAAAAAATCACTAAACAAGTGAGTATAATATAATCGACAGTCCGAAAATTCATATACCTATATTTTCGTCCTCTGCTTTGGACATACCCTTCAGCAATATGTTGATATGTTACACGTGTTATGGCGTTTTATATAAGAATAGTTTTTGATCGATTACAATGATCAAGACATTTGGTCAATGTACTCAAATGTCTTTCAGAGAATTGATAAATATACAAAGTAATTATTTATGTTTTCAATTTAATTGATTTCTCTTAATTAACTTAATTATATTACTTAATTCTAAATAGCCTTTAAGTTTTTCCTAAGAGCTACCATAATAATTATTCTAAAATAACTCGAAATTGCTATCATACATCATAAATTTTTTTTCTAATAAAACAAAATTTAGAACAATATAATTCGCTTTTCAATTAAATATTTTATAAAAAATTTATGACGCTATACTTGTGTTTATTTATTGTTTTATTGTTTAAAACGTGTTATCTCAAGTACTACCAAAATAATAATTTATTGATATAAAATCGTAAATACGTTAATTTCATATTTGCACAGATTTAAACGATTGTGTCTGGTCAATTTAAAGTGTTCGCGGTACTATATATTTTTTGTAAAAGTGTCGTTAAATATTTACGATAAGAGTTTTATGATAAGAGTTTAAATATTACAGAGTCATTAAGGTTTAGTCTACTAAACCTAAATGACTCGGTATTATTTAAAGGCTTAATTGGGAAAGTATTAGAAAATTTTATTGATTTTAAAATAAATTGCGTTTTAAATATTGCTGTTAAATAATTAAATGTTTATTTTGTTATTTGTCAGACTACCCACGCATTTGTAATCATATTACAGATAAATAAACTACTTGAAAACTACACACGTTAGTGATTTTGCAAAAAGTACGCGAATTATATGAATTTGTTAAATGTGTTTTTTATTAATGAAAATTAATCTTTTTGTTTTTAAATTTTCCACCAATTTATCTTTGTCTTAAATTAAATACTATTATTTATTAAAATAACAAATAATAATTAAATAATTGGACTTATCTTGACTATAGTTTTACTATAGTTTATCATTACAATCTTGGGTATAGTTAAAAGTGGCTCGAACTAGTTTAAACGAATTACTTTGGTAACCTAATTATTTAGAATGTTGTCCCGATATTCTAGAAAACACATTCCGAAATTGTATTGAATTTTTTCAGAGAATTTTTAGATATTATTTGAAAATAGAGAATTTTTCGAAAAGTTTTTAATAAAAAGAAAATTTGTTTATAAAAATAAATTTTTAAAAATATATATTTTCGAAAATTTTCTATAAAAAGTTAAATTTTTTAAAAATTTTCTATAAAAATAAATTTTTTTGAAAATTTTCTATATATAGAGAAATTTTTGAAAATTTTCGAAAACTTTTTATTAAGAGATATTTTCGAAAAAATTTCAAAAAAGATAAAATTTTCTATAAATTTTCCTTTTACATTAGCTTTTCGAGATATCATGTCCTGAAGGAAAACATTTTTGTCCATATTTGAGACTTTATAACAGCGCATATAACTTCTCATATAACTTCTTCGATATTCAAGACATCTCTTTGATTCCGTCTTTGTGTTTCGGTATCTTCAAATCTTGTTACCCTGAATACTTATTCTTAAAAGGGAAAATTAGAGAAATGCTATTTAATGAACCACTGCATACAACTGTTAGACGCATACTCATCATCAATATCCAATCGAAATTGACATCGACGAGCACAAGATAAAAAGGTGAATTTAAATTTTTAATCTATAGAAGTCTACGGGTCCAGATCACAGATCTGTAATATAATGCAAGACTAATTATTCACTGGCTATTGGATATCTACTAGGGTGATTGACTCGGGTTTTCAATCTGTTTTAAAACCGTTTTTTTTTTCTTCAATAGTTCAACTATATGGACTATTCGAAAACCGGTATTTGGAAAATATCGAATAATCGATCACTCTAATATCTACCAAGTACTGGTCTAACATACTTAAACAGTGGACAAACGGGCACATTTATACCCAAAAGATTCACATAGCAAAGCGAAAGTCATTAGACGTATTTCTGCTGAAAATGATCGATATTCTTATTAGGATGTTAGCAGACCCAAAACACTTCTTATCTCCCTATTATCATGCCTATAGTAATGGTTTAGACCGCTTTAGTAGGTCACCTAAATAGATCATTGAAGTTCTGATAACATATGATAGTGGTCTTTCTTGATAAAGAGGATGCCTTTAATATAAAACTCAAAGGTGGCAATAGACTATCTGGACGATTTCTCAGAACCTCGCAGATGCACTCAACACTTTCGATCGATGAAGTGCCGACAGTGGATGAGTAGTCAACCTGTTTAAAACCAAACTTCTCTAGGAGATATGTATAATATTAATATATTCACACTTCCTCGAGATCATGTGAAATTATCACTTTCCGACAAACTATATAAAATGATATAGGAACAAGATGAGGTTTAAAATTAAATCTTGTTAATTCTCTTCTCTCTCGAAGTAACTGTTCACGATAAGTTATTGCGAAAGAAAGCAATCTTTATAATGGTATAACTAGGGACAATCTCGAAGAGGTCCCTAAACTTGATTTCAACAGATCTGTTGAAAAGTAAAAGAACTCTGACTGAGGCAAATTATGACAGACACAGGGTCCTACAGACTTTAAGGACATCAAGTATTAAAGAAGAGTTAGCAAATTTCCCTGATAACATAGATTAATGCACTACCAAACCCTGCAACTGTTTCATAATCTAGGATTGTACGAGGGGGTAAAGTCTGGAATTTGGGATCAACATAACATTTATTATGACATCACACCGAAATATCGACATAAGAAGAAAGCATATTTACTGGCAATCAGGTCGCAATGGAATGTACTTCACATCAAGATTGTCCAAGTATTGCTGGACATACTCAAATAGGCTTGTGGTATATGAGGATTTAAAGAGAAGACTTAGATTACATCATAATGACTTCTTTGAAAATTGTCTTGACGGGGAAAAAAGGGAACAATCGCTAGCTTTAGGCGGGACGACTTCAACGTCTACATTCGGTAATTGTAATACCCCGGAAATAG